CCTTGCAACTCCTCAACCATCAAGATCAAATCAATGCGGGATTTAGAATTATGATTAGTAGAGTCTTTCCTAAAACATGTGTAGGTCTTGGCTGATGGGTTTAATCTTCTATAGGAATCAAAAAGATTAAAGGAATGGCATAAATTCGCTATGATCCTTTCATCCATTGTCATGTAAGACGGGCATGGAGAAGGAGGGCGCCACCTATCCAATTGGTGATCCGGAGCAGCATTAAAGTCCCTTGCTCTGATTAGAGGAATGCCAACGGGCAGTCGTGGAATGATGTTACTAAAAAAGTTTTGTCTTTCCCCTACATCATTAGGTCCATACACACAAAGAATCCCTACTATTTCTAATTTCAGCATAGCTAGGACATATACCCACCTACCTTGTTCCTTATCTGCCACTGAGTAGGCATTCTCTGCTCTGGACTGCGGGGGAATCCAAATGGCCACCCCCGCACTCCCCGGGGAAATTGCATGGGCTCTGTATGCTTGGTGAGGCCATATCTGTTTATGAATATAGTTATGCATATCGGAATTCATCAAATGGGTTTCTTGGATACATATCACATCCGACCAATCTTTCCCATTTATACCTTTTAATTGGTCGTAGATCGCTTGTCTTTTGCTTAGTTTGGCAGATGCTAGACCATTCACATTTAAAGATCTTAAGTCTAGATCAACTTGACGTTTAAGCAATTTTCATTCCTTGTCTTTATTATATAAAGCATCAATAACTCTAATCCCTTCCATCATAAAAAGCGAGCGATCAAATTGACATACCAGGTAAAATTATGATGAATTCAGAGGAGGAAATACCTCTCACAGTTTCCTCCACTGCCCAGAATCCAACACCCCATCCTTTTCCATAATACTATGCTTCAGTATCCTTGCAAGGATGATCCCGACATCCTCCTCTGACCAGAACAAGCTTTCTTTGATTTTAAGAATTTGAATCTCTTTCAGCGCTTCCTGTCCAAACCATCTCAGTTTCTCCTGTCTCCCTCCCTCATATCTTATGTAAACATCTCTCTCTGCTACCTTTTGTTCCTCCGTTGTGAGTGACAGGATGGCAACAGCTCCTGGTGGGAAATTTTCTTTTATGAATTTCTTTATTTCCATTTTGATCCAAGACTCCCCAGCCATACCACGAGTAAAGGACACTAGTGAGAGAAACTGAGGTTTGGTTCCTTGTACCGTTATTTCCCCGTATGCTGCACCCTGCGGAGAAGACAAACCCACCTGCCAACTCTCCCCCTTTCTTCTGACAGGCAAAATGACAATTCATGTTTTAGCTGGTGGTAAATCTCCCTGACCCAAAATCATCCTCTGCCTGAGTTTCTGTCTCTTGCTGATGGCTGCTGAATCCATTGCTTCACCATCTTTGAAATCAATTCTTACTTCCTCCTTCCTTTGTGTCTCAGCCTCCACCATCACAGGCTCCTGAATTCCTCTTATTGAATTCTTTTGTACAATTAAGAATTTCTTTTCCCCAGTTATTACAGACACCACTTCCTTAATTTCTTGAACAGTGTTTACGCATTTCTGAGGAGATGGTTTAGGAGGGTTTTCCTCTTCAAGGTCATCAGAAAGCAATTTGGTAGGACTGGAAGGACTGGCCACTATACCTGCCAACACACCAGTGACATCTATGTCTTTATCCAAATGTTGGATGCCATGACCAGTGCCTGTTAATGTTGCTTCATTTGACTGTGGGAAAATTTGGCGGTGAGAAGTGGGATTTCCCATTGCTCTTTTGCTGGTGTACATCTTCTTTTTCTTCTTTCTTTCTTCGTCTTCTTCTTCCTTTGTCTCTCTCTCCTCTCAAGCTCATTCATTTCTTTTTGCAATTGGATGACATTGTATTTCCTTGTGTATTTGCACTTCAGAATTGTCCAGGATCGTAACAGATCGATCTTCCGTTTTCCGTTCTGAATGGCGGGTAAAGACAAGTCTCTATGTGCGGGTAGGGTGCCCAAAGTGCAATTGCAAACTGTTACAGTATTTTGCGGCGATTCTTGCCCCATAGTGCAATTACAACTCAGTTTTTGTGACTCTACTGAAGTTACCCCTTTCTATTTATTTCCTTAGTCTTCAAAAGGCCCTCATACTCAGTAGCCCCCAATTGGGTGCGACATCTTGAAATAAGGCTGGTTTGTACTTCTGCAAGGAGCCTCAGTCCTTGTAGCAGATAGCCGAGTACCGGTAGGCCAAAGGGGTAAAAGCCGGTCAGGGCAGGGGTTCATTCCCTCCAGGCTGTCGGAGACCTGGTGGGGCAAGGCCGAAATTGCAAGACTTTCCAAGGCAATCCTTACAGGGTGAACCAAGGACCGTCCATAAGTAGTAAGTACTTAAGGAAAGTCGGCGTAAGCCAAAGTTGTAAGCGTCATCAGGAAGTCTGGCTGACAGACCGCTGAGCGGTTGGTGGCGAGCTTCAGTCAACAGGCCAGTGCCAGCAATAGACGGCCTGAGAGAGAAGACCAAGGGCGACACCAAAGCAGGTTCGGCGCTGGGAAAGAAGGCCGGCTCCCTCTGGTGCTGAGGACGAAGGTCGACGCCATAGCTGGTTGGCCCTAGGGAAGAACGCTGGCACCTAAGAAGGTCGGCGCCATAGCAGGTTGGGCACCGGGGAAGAAGGCCGGTGGCATATCAGGTTCGGCGGCGTGGGCTGCTGAGGTGGAAGAAGATAGCGGAAGGAGGGAAGATTCTTGGGGGGAAAAGAAAACCTGGAGAAGGGAAAAGTTGGTGAACTTGGTGTGGTACTTGCCTAGGGGTGTCAAGAGGGGGCCCAGCAAAGTACACGGAAGCGGCAATGCACTCTGCAGCAAGACGGTGCAAAATAGGGTAGAGTAAATGCTAGAGTACGTGGTCACTTGGGATGTTACAGAGACCATACAGGGAAGATAACTGCTACTGCTGGTGTAAGTGATTGCCGGAGGCACAAAGGGGCCTTTCATCATCCAGAGACTTTTGACAGTATAAAATATTGTGCTCTTGTGATCATTGTTTTTCCAATTCTGCTAATCACCTTGTTGCCGTGTTTGTGTTGTGTGTCGGTCAAGACAGAGTTCATGATGGTGCTTGTAATCTGAGTTTCTCCACGACAGGTTCCCAGCACTTCCAGAACTTGGGTATGAAATGCACCCGAGCTTAGGTAATCAACTATTCTTCACTATACCAATGAGGACAACAGCCATGATGGGCATCATTGCTTCTAGTGTTGTTGCTGCTGCTGCTGCTGCTGATGATGATGATGATGATGCTGACGCTGACGCTGGCGCTGACGATGACGATGATGATGATGATGAGGAGGAGGAGGAGGAGGAGGAGGAAGGGGACGATGATGGTGATGATGGTGATGATGCCGATGAAGATGGATGATGAGGATGATGAGGATGAGGATGAGGATGATAATGACTGATGATGACTGATGATGATTGATGATGATTGATAATGATTGATGATGATGGATGATGAGGAGTATGAGGATCATGACAATTACGATGACAATGATGATGATGATGATGATGTTGATGATGATGATGATGATGATGATGATGACGATGACGACGATGAGAACCTGATTTTTCTTGAGGAGAATGAAATATGGTATGTTGAGGAAGCTGGCTGATTTCCAGTTTCCACGAGGCTCATTGAGAATCCTGCACAACCAGTTCTGTTTCCTCTAGACCTTCTGTTGCTTGATTGCCTTCCTGCATGGCTGCATATCATCCATGTCGACAAAAAGTAGCTAGCTTGGCGCCGTGCTTCTCCTTCTCAAATCGCTTAACTGCGGCAGGAATCAGTCAACGTTCGTAGATGGAGTTGCACCACATGAGTTTGGTTACAAAGGAGTTGAAAGGAGCCCTAGAATATCTGTTTCTGGACTTGAATACACTGTCAAATTCGCTTAATATGAATTAGGCCCGAGCACCGACAACCCTGAACAGGAAATCAAGATCTGATGGACAATGGATGAAACACACTCGATGTCCACCCAAAGGAGTCAATCGAGATTCCGTGGGAAGGGCATCAGACTGCTGTGAGACATACCCACTTCCACGGATTGCAGTAAATGATTGCCTATGTTGCCATTCCGGTCAACCAATGCCTGCATGAATGCAGAAAACATTCTTACCGGAACCGCACACAGAAATGCGCAATGTTGCTTCGATCAGTCGTTTGAAGATCTTGTACATTGCCTGGTAACCTGCAGTGAAGCTGCCTGGTTCTCGGATAGCACAGAAGTCTGTTCGGTCATCCCTTGTTCCCAACTCCCCTTCCTTTCAAAAAGTTCAAACCCTTCGCTATCCTGTTATCTATTAAACCACCAGTAAATGACCCCAGCCTTGCTGAAAATGTTTCGTCATCCAGCGGCCTAGCTCAGTTGGTAAGGCACGCAAGTGGCATTCAGGAGGTCTTGGGTTCAATCCCCATTGGCCTCATGTACCTTCCTGGGCATGCTTGGCGCCCGCCACCTAGAGATAGCCCGTTGGTCCCCCCAATTGGCATTAAAAAGCAGGCTCTGCTGATGTTCATAGGGGGAGGGGTAATCGGGGAGGCACAGCGACTGGCCACTCAGATGATGCTCGGTCCCTCTGCCACCGGCTGTCCCCTGGCCGGTGCCCCCCGTTGGGGGTTCCCTGAAGGCTATCAGGCCACCCTAAGGCTATCAGGCCACCCTGGGCTGAAAAGGCCACCGTTGTCAGATTAGACACAAGATTGAATTTACCTGGGCTGGTTAGTCCGATGATAATACCTCAAGGCCATCGCCCTTAAAAAAAAAAAAAAAAAAAAAAAAAAAGTTTCGTCGCCTGGTCCGGAAAAAGTCGGTGTCGGCGCGCCCTCGATAAAATAAATTGGCGGCCGGCATCGTGTTTCGACCTCTGGCAGGGACCAACCCACGGCCAATGTGAGGCGTGTACTGGTGGTTTAAACCACCACGACCTCTGAGCCGCTTTTCGCCAAGGCAGATTTCCCATGTGCGCCACGCTTCCTGTCTGTTTTATTTTTCTTTTGGCTGGCGCTGCCAGTCCAATGGTTCCAGAAAGAACCCGGAATGATACATTTTGGATTCTGGACATTGCCTGGGAAAGGTAGTGGTGGTTAGACCACCAGTACATATGCCATACATCGGCCAAGGGCCCATTTCCGGAGGCTGCCTGCCGTTGGTGTATTTTATCAACAGCGCACGAGCCTCCAAAATTTTAGGAGAGGCTCAATTGGATTCTCAACTTGGCTGGGGCCATGTACTGGTGCTTTAAGATACCACAATTCCTTTTCTGTTTATGAATAAAAGGCATGGTTATTACAACTGCATCTGTCTTGAAAAGTGCATAAGATGCAGCTATGTTTTTCGGCCTCCTTCTTTCGTTGCTTTTTCTTCCGTGTTTGTTCCCACCTTCACTGTTCTGCCATGTGGCAATGTATACGTATGTGAATATTTCTGATCTGGAGAGAAGAATCCGGTCTCAATTCCTCTAATCATTCCTGCAGTTGGTGATTTAAGCTTTGACACTGTTGTCATTGCCTGGACAGCTGAGTGCCATCGCCGGAGGATGAAAACAATTTGTCCGACATTTGCTCTTTTCCCCTACTCTTCCTCCATCCTCACCCCCTCCCCTTCTACCCCTCCCTGCACACATAAGCAAAGCTGCCACCAAGCCTTGTCTTGTTCACATGTGTGTCGATGGCGAGGTGTGCCAGATTCTCTTGGCACTCATTGCTGGCAGGGAGGGAGCCCTGTTTCAAATTGGCCAAAGCGTTCACGTCCTGTTTTCATAATTCTGAAATCTTGAATACGAACTTTTGTATGGTGAACGTTATGATTAATTCATGACCATGGTATTGATGTGTGCACGGGTGAGTTTGTTGGTGCAGGTTGGGGTGCAGAGTGAGGTGAGGCAAGGGGAGGGAGGGATGGGGGCTGTGGTCGTGTGGCATTCATCTGTACATTGCAGAGATTGCAATGTCGATGAGCTGTTGGAGTTGTTGTGCAATGGAGGTTATTGAGTGGAGGGTGGAGTCCCCATGGACATCATTCTCATGACTAGGGAAGATTTTCATCATACAAACCACCAGATGGTTTCCTAGCTTACTGATCCTACTATTAGTTTGCCATGGTCTCTTGGTGAGGAAGGTCTCACGACCGAGGTAGGTTAGGTTCGCAGGTCCTTCCTGAAGGTAAGTTATGTTTTGTGTTCTTTGGGTTTGCTCACTTCCCCTATTCTTCGTAGGTTTGTTCTAGAAAGTTTGTTGCCCTATCAATTGCCACAATTGAGGACACGAACATAGCTGCAGACTGCAGTTACTCTTTTTGAATTGCAAAGCGGCTTAGCACTTTGAGATCGAGATGTTTGCGACATCATGCTTTGTCGTTTTGGATATGGGCACTTAAGTTGTTTCTCCGAAGTCTTTTCGGTTGTTCAATTTCTGCAAAAGGAACTGGTGGGACTAAGTTCTCGAGTATCCCTCGATTACAGGGTGCCGCTGCACTGTACCTCGTCTGATAGTTTCGCTCATCTCCCTTAAACCACAAGTACACGCCCCCAGCCTTGCAGTCTGAAACTTGTCGCCACAAGAGAACGAGGCCGAAACGTCAAACGCTGGGCCCACCATTGATAAATTTGATCGGCGGCCCCGTTTTCGTCTCGCGCCTCCAGAATTTGAGGTGTCAGACCCGCGGCCCAGGTGCCCATGTACTGGTGGTTTAAGTTTTTCTTTATTTTCTTCTCTATCGTAGTGAGTGCACCGTCCGACTAACGGCACACTCACACATGGACTTGTCAACTTCTCTGTGGACATAATTAAGGTCAGGTGCAAGATCGTGCATCTAGGCCGGGTCTGAAAAGCCGTAATATACATCCAGAGAAGTCCTAGTAGCCCTGCCTGTGGAAACACCCATTGAGAAACCCGATTAAGTAGAAAAGGCGATCCTGTAGCAACGGTTGTCGTTTCCGTCCTCGGCACCGGTTCTTAGCTCTCTCTTGCTAGCTGCTGTCAAACAGCCACATAATGCCACCAAATCCGGAGCCTTTCTGGGCACCAACAAACAAAGGCAGCTACTTCCTTAATTACTACGGTTTGAACCGGAAAACAGCCTGTCTGCGTGATGTAGGCCCTATCTTCCCGCAGGATCGCACGCCTCCTCACGTCCTGTTCAGGCGCTGCCTTGCGCCTAACCTCTGCTACTCCCATCCAGACTGGGCCTCGCTTTGGGCCGACCTTGTCCTGTCAGAACCGCAACTTCTGCAACTCTTGAGGGCAATCTTGAGAGAAGGGGATTGCGAACACGTCCTCGCGAGACCTCCTTCAAGGAATTGGTTCCCTAAGGAGTGCATTGACAAGCTGTGTTCCGGGCATCATAGTGTTGTGCAGTCTGCCATAGGCGACTGCTTGTGGGATGCGGTTCCTGTACCCAAGGATGTGGACACGTTGATCGATGCACTGTGTGCTTCGCTGCTCAAGGAGATCTCACGTAAGGAGCGAGCCTCAGGTCATAATGGTACTAAGTTAAACTATCCATATCCATATCCATGTCGTTGCGGCTGCAGCTTCTGCAATCCTGTGAGGCTTCTACGCTATATGATGTCATGCGATTCCAGGCTGGATAAGTGGGCACTGGATCATGACTGTAGACTTCGAGAATCAGTGTTGAAGAGGGTTGCATCGCAAGGCAGTGAGCGGTTGCCTGCACCCGAATTTGAGCGTATAGTCCAGGAAAGAGGCAAGAATGCCTCTAAGACTTGTGCCAGTGTACGAACGCCCAGATGTTGTTGCCCGTTTGCCACTCAAAGAGCTGCATTGCAAAGCAACTTGAATAAGCGCTCGCGTGGGTGCGAATTTGAGCGCTTCGTCCAGGAAAGAGGCCAGAATGCCTCGTTTGCGAGTGCCCAAACGCCTGGATCTTGTACCCCATTTGCTGCCCTTCTGTCGGCCTGTTCTGGGGAGGAAAGCAACAGTCCACAGTCATCCACTGGGAATAACCCCTGTGGTAGTTACCCCTCTAGTAGCAATCCACCACCTCTGTCTTATCAGGAAGACACTGTTGGTCGGTACGGCTGTCCTTCGTGAGTTGTAATTCACAGTTCATTCCTTAGCAAAGGTGCCCGCCGCCATTTCTATTCGTCAGGTCCAGCCGCCTGGTTTTTAGGGCGCCCTTTACGCGCACAATAGCCGCAATGTGGCTTAAAGCATCCTCATCCAGTTTAATTTCTTGTTGTTTTTTTCGCGCAAGAAGTCTAGGAACGTGTTTGTTTGCAGGACCAGGCGATCAATTCACACTTCACTTGTGCTGGCATTTCTTTTGAGGGGGACGAGCTCAACCCTTGAGTTCAAGATTGTTGTATTCTTCTAGTTAGTTCGTCCGGACTTGAACTCCTGACTTATTGTTGCCATATGAAAGTGTGTGTGCCTCAGAAATAACTATGAAGTGTCATGATCTGGCATGGGAGGGGGGGAGCCAAAGCCCTGAAATCTATGGGATGGATTCTTGCGTAGAAATTGTGACTGGGGTATAAACTTGGAAGTGAGAGTGGGAAGGATGGCTAGTGCTGTAGGCAGAGGAGTGAGGCGAAAGGTCCATCCCACAAGTGGACTCAGCTTTAGACTGCGTGTGT